TTTGGATCTTCAAGAAGAGATCCATTTTCTTGATGAAATTTTTTTTCAAGTTGTTACTTCATTATCATATTATTTGGTACAAGAAAAAATATACCATTTAATTGGAGTAATTCATCAACTTGATATGAAAATTTGCCAATGGAGACATGAGTTATCAACCCTTCTTATCAAGCTAATGACTGAATTTTGTGAGGTTTTACAAAATGTTTTCAAGTTTTTTATGACTGAAATTGTTGAAAAAAAATGACTTCATCAATGGCTTGGGAAGTTTAAGAGTCCATTTTTAAAGAACCAAATTATGAAATTAACATAGTGAAAGAGTATGTTCTTGGCTAAGAATGATGTTCTATATATGGCTTGGGGGTTCATACATCCATTTGTAGAGAGCCAGTCATGAAAAACTTGTTAGGGAGCATGCTTTTAAACCAAGTTTGGTTAAAAATGATGAGCAACCCACAGCTAGTGGATTTGAAATTTTTGATGATGTGGAAAATCTCAAAATATTTGAATTTCTAAAAACACCATATACCACTATCTTCATTGTTCAAAATCCATTTTGGATTTGTGGTTCACATCAAAATTTAACTTTGATGAAATGGTTAACAAAATATCAAAGTCTAGAAAATATATTTGTTGAGTTTTTTTTCCTACATTTTCACAATATGAAGCATGAAAATGACCAATAATAATGGTCCTGGTTATTTTCATGGTTATATGTGAAATAGTGGCCAATACAAATTTACAGTTGGCCAAGGTAGAATAAGCTCTGTAGAACACACAATGAGTTCACATGTTTGTTGTTTTCTACCATGCAATGTAAAATCATCATTCTTGACCAAAAGCTAGTCTTTGCTATGTATTAGACATGACGTTTTTATACTCCAGATTGTCTTCGAAGTGGGTATGTAAACAACTATCATTTTGGCTTTGTTGTTGGTCAACGTGTGTGCTTCGAAAGCCCTTTTTGCCATAATATTTTAGTTCAAAGCACTCTATCTTGCATCAATAATAGCTTCGAAGAAAAAAAATAATGGTGATTGTGAACATTCGAAACTTTCCCGAGTATTTCTAAGGATGTAATTAGTCCTTTGTCGGCACCTTCAACCTTCGAAGGATGATTTTGGCCCTCTAGTAATACCTTTAGAGGATGACTTTCATCCTTTGAATTACAACTCTTCAAGAATTCGAGACGTCTCATAATTTTTTGCCATGATATTGGCTACTATCAAGTGAGATATTTGCTACTTTTACATGGCAGTAAACTTCGAATCATTTCGGAGTGGCTTCCAAGTATTTTGAATTAGCTTCGTAGTAGCTCCAAGGAGACTTTAATTTGTCCTTCTTTATAATGAACCTTCTAGTAAGCTTCGAAGGGTTCCATAGAAGCGTTGAAGGATTCCAAAAGAGCTTCAAAGAGGTTTTTTATAATGAACATAGTAGTGTTGCCGTGTCATTGAAGTATTAGCCATGATTTTTGGACACCATACACAGTGAGTACATGCATTCATTGATTACAAATTGGTGTCTCAAGTTCAAATTTTGAACTTGCCATCTAAGAAAGTACAAAGCTTCTACTCACGACTTATACCAAACATGATTGGTATGTATTGTGTCCAAATCAAATTGGTGCTTCTTGATTCGAATTGATCACTTTGAAGCACTCATGTTGAATTCGAAGGATATGCCTTTAGTGTAGTGTCCCTTCGAAGCACTTCGTTGGTGCTGTTGTGGTATTCGAAACACTTTATTACTCATACCAATTTTGTGTTTGGTTCGGCTCTTCAAAAATTCAAATAAATATCATTTTTAAAGAGTCGCGAGGGGTAATGTTGACACCATAAATAGTAATATTATTATTATTATTATTACTATTATTATTGTTATTATTGCAGGACACGTGGCACTTTCTTGATCAATTAGGAGTTAAGAGAAGTTACAAA